ATGTTGGGTGTTGTGTGGACCCTGCCGCGGGGCCGGTGTCTGAAAGTTCTGAGTTCAGCCACCCTAAACGGAGTTGGGCAAGGGTTCATCTCGTGTTTCTCGAAAGTTTCGCTTCTTCAATGTTGAAGGGCGGCGGTCGACCGACGACGCAGTTGTCGTTTCGGGTGCTGAGACTCGTCGTGACTGCATCAGTGTGGAGGTTATTGGGCGCCGCTCGGTATTTTTCTGCATCGAATGAATGGTCTAAGTACTGCTCGATGTCAGATTTCCAGTGGTGCAGGTGCCGTCAGACGTGTCGGAGGGCGGATCGTTCCGAGGCGGGTCGTTTTTGAGGTGGTTTCCACGATGGAACCCCACAAAACACTGCTTCAAAACATGGTGTTGTGCTGTTTCACCGCCAGTATCTGGCTTTCTTCATAGAGGTGATGCTCTGACGACATGAGATGGTAGCCTGTGGACATACGTAGAGCAGCATTCTGGCAGGTTTGTATGTTATTCCCCTGCGTATCGCTTCCCTGCCGACAACACTGGCGCTTCGCAGTTGGCCACCGACCGGCCGATCGCTTTATATGTCATGAGCAAGGTCTCTTTGTCGGCTCCCCAGGTGATGCTGGCTAGTGACTTTGGAACTTTGTACCTGGCCTGCATTTTTTCACAGGTGACTGAGGCCTGCGCTGAGAAGGTGAAAAGACTTGCGAACGTTACTCCCAAGATTTTGGGAAGATTGACCGTCGGTATCCTTTGCCATCGACGTAGACGTCCAGTTCCAGCCTGATCTGAGATGTTGAGGCTTCAGACAGTGAACAAGTTTGAAAGATCGGTGAAGTAGCCAGTGATTTTCCCGCAAAGACTGTCGACATTTGGTCCCATTGCCATAATCCTATGGGTGTCGAGGAGAATACTTAGACTTGGCGTTTCGGAATTCGACTGATGATAGGCATACACACATATAGCTGGTTATCCATCGCTTGGTCCGATAAGAAAGCGACGGGTACAGAACGTCTTGGCAAAGGGACGCATGGTTCACCGTCTCGAATGCCTTTGACTTTGATGTAGAGACCCTCACTTATCTGTGAGGTGATAGCTTTAATGCCGTGGTCGTGCTGTGTATTTTACGGAATCCATGTTGTAATTTCAGATGCTTCGTCAGGCTGCGGAAGAGCAGTGCTTCCATTGTTTCTGCCTTTGGAGATAGAAGGGAGATGGGACGGTATGAGTGTTCTGCCGTCCGCCTTCCTCCCTAGCTTAAGAAGGGAGAAGAATGATCCTACCTATTTTCCACACCTTGGGGATTATCAGGATGGCAGTGAAATGTTGAAGGAAGCTGGGATGTACTCGACTCCCGCAGGTCCAAGGTATTTAAGCATTTACATGGAGATTCCGTCTGGGCGTAACGCCTTAGATTCCTTGGCGTTGTTAACAGCTGCCTGCGTCTCTTCTGTGGTACGTCTCAAAGGACGAGTTTGTGCGCTTTACGTAGCACACTGCGGCGTAGCTAGTATTTAAATGATGAGGGTATTTCGGCCGAGG